GGGTAATTTACTGAATAAATTCCGGAGCTTTTTCAAGGGAGGAATTTTTGACCTCATTGACAGTTAGCCATTTGTTCTCACGAAACAGTTGATTTTGAGCAAACCATATAGACTAGATTATAAAGGTAAAAAAGTTACTGCAATTAGTTAGAAGTGGATCTCTATGCTTACTGTAACAGATGTTAGCCTAGAGCTAGCTTTTGAAGTCCAAATTAGTAGTATAATTAGCCACAGGATATGGCATAGCAGTAGACTAAAGGGCAGAGACAAAGGGGCACTCCCTAAAGAGCTGGTCTAAAGATTCAGGGGAGTTACGACATATGGGCAACTACTATATTTGAGCAATTCCCTAGTGGGAAAGTGTTTCAAAAGTAAGAAACTTTCCATGTACTAGAAGCCATAAGAAATGTTGTATCTTGGGCAAGGTGTGGGATTTCCAAATCTAGGTCTATAGTAGTTATCTTCTTTGAATGAGTTGCACTGTATCATTATTCTATTTGGATGTTTGAATTTCTTCTGTGACTTGACTGAATGAAATTTTAATGATAAAATGCAATTCACGATGTTAAGCACTTTAATGGAAAATGAGCTTTGGAGCTTGTTTAGTGTTAGCTATAATTTTTATAAAAGTATTTTTTTGATTATTGGTTTTGTAAATCAAGTAGTGAATGGACCAATTAAAACTTAATAATAAAAATTTAAAGTGTATTTTGTTTGATTGATTTAAATAATTTATAGGTTTTTTTTCTTAAATAGTTACTTATAATGTTTGAAAACATCAAATTGATTTATAATGTTCAAAACATCAAATTGATTTCAAAATATTAAGTAATGGATATCAACTATTTTTTAATTAATAATTACACTTATCAATTATTTATGATAATGGGTTAATTTAACAAATCATCTATTAACTTTTATATTCTTTTCAATTTCATTTATTATTTTTGAATTCTTCTAATCCTGTCTACTATTTTTTCTTCTAATCCTGTCTACTATTTTTCACATTTATTTTAATTTTATCTAGTCTGTCATCTTTAACGGAAATGTTTGTTAAAGATAACGAAATCATTTTATTCTATAAGAAAATATTTAGTCTTCTAACTATATTGCTTTGATCTTTTAGTCCTTAAATTTATATTCACCATAAAAATAGTTTTTAATCTTATCTTGCTAAAGATGATCTTCAGAAAGCTATTTTACAGAGCGGACTGTATGCAGTCTGTCATATAAAATTATTTAAATATCATTAATTTTATTTTTATATTATTTTTTCATGAACATTTAAATAATTTTTTTAGATAGATTGCATGCAATCTGCACTATAAAATAGACTAGTTACTCAAGTTTATTACAAATTTTAAGTAATCTATCTCTATAAAATATTTTTTGAGTCATCATATTTTATTAGGATTATAGTGTCATTTTTTCAAAACTTAAAGGATTACTCTTTCTGTTAAATTTAACAAAATTTTGTACTAGTAGATTGATTATTTTGAAATATTTCTAAAGTTTATAGATCATTTAAAAAGAAAATAAACTTTCTAAATTAAAACAAAATTAAGTTTATAGTTAGTAGACTAAAAATTGAATTAAGCCTTATAAGAACTAAACTAAACTAAATTTTTATTTTAAAAATTATAAACATGTATAGTTATTTTCTAGTACCCTAAAAACTAAGGTTTAGAAAAATCAAAAATACTTTTTGGAAGGATATGTTTGACAAAATTTTGGTTTCTATAATGAAAATTGAGCCAACAGACAATTCTTATACTTAAAATGGTATAGCAAACATAATTTTGGTTTCTATAATGAAGATTGAGCCAACAGACAGTTCTTATACTTAAAAAGGTATAGTTACCTGAATCTGAATGATACATTTTAAAAGTTAGTAGACCTAAATGTTAAAAATCAAAAAGCTTGGTGAGGCCCCTTTGAGATTTAGTAAAGTGGAAAAGTCAAAGGGTATATGGGTGTCTGATTAGATATAACCGTATTATATTCTTCCATTTTCGGATCACGCCATTCCATTTTGTGGTGAAAATCCGTGGCCAGCTCTTCATTTTATTAATTATGATAGTATCAACCCCCTCAACTTATAATATAAAACTCTTAACCTTTGAGTTTTTCAAGCCAAATGAAAAAATTCAAAATAATGGACGACAAACAGTCACATGCTCATTAAAACTCCATTACCCATTGCTGCTTAATCACTAACGAAGCAATTCTTTTCCATCATGGACTACCACTGTGGATAATAGTGGTTCCTAACTAAATAGATTTAAAGTTAAAAAGAATTGAAAAAGAAACTTAAAGTTCCATTTGACAATACTTTTTAGTGCTTTACCTTTTAAGTTTTATATCTTTTTACTATTTTAAAAATATATAAAATATTAATTAAAATAAATATAAAATGTTTAAATATTTTAAATATTTTTAGATTATTAAAGGACCAAAAAACTTATAATTGCAACTATATACTAAAATTGTCAAACTAAACCTTAAAAAGTGATTTACACAAGGAAAAGTTTTCGTTTGTTTTCTACAACTTCATACAACAATATCACTTTACTCTCCTCACTAACCAAGAGAATCTAAGTTGAATTCATTAAAAAATCTTTAAAAAGGTTGAAGAGATTACAACAAGGATGAGCCCTCTGTTGCTAGACCACAAGTTTGATAGGTGTTGTTCTTAATTGACATATTTTATTTGTCTTGGGTTTTAGTCATCTCAATTAGTGAATATTAACAAATAAACAAATGATAAAAAGGGATTAGTGTTAATTAAAAATGAATTATGTATTTATTAATTTAAATTTGTACTTAATATCATCATTGATCAATATAGATTTGTTAGTACAAAAGCAATTGAAGAAGGCAAGTTATATTGGGTTGTTGTATATTATAGGGGATTCATTCCTATGAATTTTATTTTCAATTCAATATTTTACGACATTAATTCAAAGTTTCTTATTATGAGATTAAGTGTGAACAAGAATTTTCTCACTTTTATTGTTTATGGTGGCAATCCACGATGATTAAGAATTGCCACCCTGACAATTACATAGCAATGGGTCACAAAGTTTTAATGAGCACATGATACATGTGACTATTTACCACTCATTTTAGGTCTTTTGATTTAGACCAAAAAAATAAAAGGCTAAAAGTTTTATGTTGTTAGTTAAGTGACTTACACTTTCATAGCCAGTTAGGTGGAGGGCTGGCGATTGATTTTTGCCTCCATTTTGTTTGATGAAATTCAAAAGTCTTCTTTTGAAAAAAAAAAAAAACAAGTGTTCTGTTGGCGTACGTGCAGATCACTTTCAAAAGCGCGTCTGTTTGAAAAGACAGAAATGTCCCTAGAAAAATGATTTCTCAAAAACAAATTGGAGTATAGGGATTAGATTGGTTTAACCATTTAAAATAGTTTGTAGATGGTAGATATTACAGTATTTAAATCATATTTTTTTTAATTTTTAAAATTATTATTTTTAAAATTTTTTAAATAAAAAATTTAAGAATAATTTATATATTTATTTATATTATTTTTGAAAAAAATTTAAAAATAAAAAGATAATTTGTGATATGAGATTAAAATAAATAAATAATACTATATTTAAAATAAAAATATTTATTTATTTTAGAAAATAAAGAAAGAAAATTAATTTGCAATAAAGTCAAAATAAAAAACACAATGATCTTAGGACAGATGGGGTAAATAATCATAATTATTGGGTAGCCTATCTGTGAACTGATTGTAATATTGAAAATACCAAATAAGGTCTGATTTTTTAATATAAGGCAGGATAAATAAATTTTTTTTTTT